AAGCGACTGAATTATTATGTTTGATATAACTGTGAGTATAATCTAACATAGTTACCCTATTACGAAGTTAGTTTTCTTTGATATTACAATTAGTGGGTAACGCAAACAAAATGTAACGCCCCCTTATCTGACTGGCTGTTTTGTTATAGATACATGTATTTATTGAGAGTTTTGTTTATACTTTTGTAATACTTCATAGAGTGAAGTCTGGGCTGTTGATGAACGTTATTGTTAGTTAAGTTAGAGATTTATATATATTTGTACTGGATGGTATGGTTAAAAGAGGTATCCAGAGGTGAGAGGCGAGGGTAAGGGGAAAGGGAGGAGAGGAGAGGGAAGACGAGAGAAGGGAGAGGAGAGGAAATGGATGAAGGGAAGAGAGGAGAGGGTAAGTGAGGTAAGGAGGAGAGGACGGGGAGAGGGTAAACATAAGAACATTAGAATGGAGGAAACTGCAGCGGGTCTATTGGTCCATACTGGGCAGTCCCATTTACACGGAATTACACCCACCCCTATCGCTCATATATCCATCCAACCTATGTTTGTAGCTATCCAGTGTATTCGAGTAAGGAGAGAGAAGGAGGGGGGGGTACTAGTAACAACACCAACAACTTATCAAACAGAGAGAGAGAGGCATCATGGTTTGCACGAATACCTCCGTTTTCTATCTCACTGACACACTGCATAAATATAATCCCAAAACAAACCATAAATTTACCTTTGTTAATAAATAAAACCTAAAAACCTCAAAAATTAAAGAAAATTGAATCAATAATCCAACAATTAACAAAAGTAACCTAAAGAAAAATAAATAAAGCCTCCTTAAAGACAAAAATAAAATAAGAATCAGAATCTCTTGTCATGTTGAGGTTAAATTATCTTACGACGGTTTAGTAAAATTTATATTTGGAATATACTGTTAGCGTGTAATCTCAACCTTGTACGGATTTAGTGAGGGAACCTATGTGTGTGTGTGTGTATGTGTGTAATAATAATAATAATAATAATAATAATAATAATAATAATAATAATAAATAATTATTAACGGTTTATAGAAAGAGCATGGCAACCGGAAGGCTGAAAATATACAGTTACATAATTGTGAAATGGGTCTCTTGATTTACAAATAATATACAAGTAACATATGTGATACAAATATGATATATAATAACTAGGTGGGGAGAAGGTCAACTACAGGGCATTTCAACATAGTGACAGTGCAAAAAGTAAGATTAACTGGGAGTGAATACACTGGTTGATTACAAGTTATTAATAATTTTTATAGTGGTTGGGACTGGGCTGTTCTTATAGCGATCAGTTCGTGCTCGTATGGGCTGTGTGTGTATTTTTATCATTTTTACTGCAGCAGGTGTACCGTGGGTGTGACGTACATAAAATATAACACCTGTGTAGTATATTTAGTATATGATAGGTGATGTGGTAGAAGATGGGTTTGGATGGGTGGGGGCGGGTGGGATGGGTGGCAAAATGGGCTATCTGAAAGAGTTGATGTCCCACGCAACCACCGACCTTCAGCTAAGAGGTTTATAACAGGACTCTCCATCACCTCGTAAAAAAAAAAGATCCTTCACACGTGCTCCGATATCCTGTAGGACTCTTAAGACATCAAAGGGGAGGCAAAATAACATAATGAGATTTGTGTGTTTAGTTTAGTGTAACACGAGAGAACAGAAAGTTGACCGTGACCTTCTGTTAGCGTTTGGCGAAGAGAAAGTAATAAGGTTCCCGGTGATGGCTCGACCCTGTACGCAAACTGAATGTAACGTCCTCTCTCTCTCTCTCTCTCTCTCTCTCTCTCTCTCTCTCTCTCTGCCTGCGGAATTACACAATTTCTCAGTACAGTATCATCATAGCTACGTCATGTGAATGAGTCACTTGGATCAAAACAAACTGCACGTCACCCCTGAATTAATATTTTCCTACTTGATTCTATTTAGGGGGGATGAGGTTAGGTTCGGTTAGGTTAGGTTAGGTTAGGTTAGGTTAGGTTAAGTTAGGTTAGGTTAGGTTAGGTTAGGTTAGGTTAGGTTAGGTGATATTAGCGTGAATGTTTCGGGTGTCGTTCATCACATGGGGGCCCAACACGCTCCAGGATGTGGGGTCCACCAAGCTCCTCGGCCTTCACTGTAGATAAAAAAAAAATAAACACAGTACAAATGTCAAATCTTCCTGCCATCGTCTCCACATCCTCTGTTGTCTCAAGTCACACACACACACACACACACACACACACACACACACACACACACACTCTCTCCTTCTGCTCATCGTGAACTAGACATTCAGGCAGGCAGCCCAGTCTTCCTGGCGGCATAGTGAGGGTAAGTTCTCCCGCTCCCGCCACCGACACACCTACTACCACTACCACCACTACCACCATCACCACAGTCATACTACCACCAATAACATTCCACTCTATATCACCAAGAATACTACTACTACCACCAACACTACTACTACTAACGTCACTACTATTATCAGTCCTACAACCACCACTACTGCCCTTCATACCACCAGGAACACCACTACTACCCTTCATACCACCAGGAACACCACTACTACCCTTCATACCACCACTACCAACATCACTACTTACACCAACACCACTAACAGCCACATCACCACACATACCATTACTCAGTGCATGATAAGGCGTCATTAAGCTTGCGTAAGAATGCCTTAAGATCTCAGTGAATCTTTTGACATATCTTCACTGTGTTTGTGAGATGTGTTTGTGTACCCAGCGATTAGTTACGTGTTTGTGAGCTAAAAAGTGTACATAGACAATTTGTTCTGTTGACGAAATGGTGCTTGTGAGCTATGAAGTATTTTCAAGATTTATTACGTGAAAGAAAATAGTGAGTGTGAGTTATAAAATACACCTGTAATTAGTTGTATTGCCAAAATAGTGGTTAAAATAGCGCAGGTAGGTGAAGGTCGCCTAATTGAGAGAACGGAACGGCTACCTAAACTCTTACCTGTTGTTAACCTCGTAATTTATCACTGATTCATTAGATCGTCTACGACAATGAGGGAATGACAATAGTGAACTGAGGACAGACACACACACACACACGGGCGGATTCACTTAACATGTTAATTACACAGAGGAAATTAATTTAACCTTGAAAGACATGAAGGAATTTATATACCCAAGGGAAATAAATTTATATACAAGGGGAAAATTTTTATGCACATTGGAAACAAATTTTATGCCTGGGGAAATAATGTATATACCTCGGGGGAAATTTATATTGCTGGGGAAAGAATTTATATACCTGAAAGAAAATTTATATACCTGTGGGGAAAGAATTTTTACACCTGGAGGCACAAGTACGTAACAGACAGACACAGACATGAGACAGACGAACACAAAGATAGGCACAAACGCACACCACCATACACTGACAATAATAATAATAATAATAATAATAATAATAATAATAATAATAATAATAATAATAATAATAATAATAATAATAATAACAATAATAATAATAATAATAATAATAATAATAAATTCCATCATACATTTCCATGGTCGTCTAATACTGAGTAAAATCCTTCTCTCTCCCTCTCTCCCTCCTTCTCTCCCTCACACGACTGGTAGAAGACACCAACAGGAGATGGCCGCCAACACCGTGACAATACTACAGAGGACCAGGTGGACGTTTAGGATTTGGGTTTTCTTCTCCTTAGGTCCTATTCTGACCCTGTGCAATATCCTTCTATACCTGAATGCATCCTACTCCACCTTTCCTGTGGTGAGTACTGTGTGTGTGTGTGTGTGTGTGTGTGATAAGTACATAGTCAAAAAGATGTAAGTTAGATACATACATACATATAGACATACATACATACATACATACATACATACATACATACATAGTTAGAGGGAGGGGGGGGGAGGTATACAAATATATAAATAATATTACAAAGAAATAATTTATCGTCTTACAGCCTCCAGGAAATAGTTCTGTGATTTCGGCGTCTCTAGGGAAGTCACCTGGGGCTATCAAGACCAAGCCTGACGTGGCGGTTAATCCAGACCACCTGACGGATTTTCTGGAAGTTGAGGTATGTTTTTGGTTTGGTTATGTAGACATTGGCCTTGCCTATATCACCTTAAGATCAAACAGCCTATCCTAACCTGAATTGATATTGTGGAAAATAATGCTGATTATTTCCGACGACTACCAGATATTTAACACAAGACTGAAGCAATTTTTGTTAAAGCAATAACATTACAATTAATGTCTTTTATCCTTTAGTAAATGTACAAAAAATACATTGTAAAGAAGAAAGAAAAATAACAAACAAATTAAAAAGGCCATATGTCCATTTGGCCAAATGTCCTTCGGCCATCTGACCTTCGGCCATCTGTCCGGCCACGACCTAACCTAATCTACTGTTGGGTAGACAGAGGCAAATGTCGTAAAGAAACATACATACATACATACATACATACATACATACATACATACATACATACATACATACATACATACATTAAAAATCGTAAGAAATAATACAAAGAACAGATCAACAACATGAACTATTGCTAAACTGACAACTGGTGGACATGACGATAATAATAATAATAAAAAATAAATAAAACACAGTTAATTACATTGTAGCAGAGGAAACCGGACAAAGAACTGGATAATAAAGATAACGAAAAAATAATAAATAAACTACAGATAATAACTTACACCGTATTAGAATGATAAAAAGCGGGTGAATGTTTTGTTTGTTTTTGTGTGTTTGTTATAGTGGGTGATATAACTTGTTTGGTTGTGGTTTTTAAGTAGTCTTTCGTTTCATTATGTGAATGGTGTTTAATGTTACTACTCCACTACTGTTAACACGACAACCATCATCACTACTCCGACTATACTATTACCACTATAATTATTACCAACACTATTAATTAACACTATACTAATACCACAACTACCACCGTTATTATGTTATTGTTCCTACTACTACCTCATTGATACACCACCACTACCACTACCACTACCTTCACTATCACTACCACCATTGACACTACTACTACCACCACCACAAGCACTAATGACCTGTGAATTAAACCAGAACCTTAAACTGAATATGTGTCACTGTATCCAAGAATCCCTGTAGCCACTTTGTATTACTGTATCACTGTATCCCGGCAGAGGAGGATACGGGAACGAGTGGCGTTGCTGAACAAGGTGTGTGAAGCACTGCCGAAGCGGAGCAAAGTTGCGGCCAAAGCGACAGAGGAGAGAGTGAACATACGGTGAGAAACATACAGTCATACACACGCATACAGAACATACAGTCATACACACGCATACAGAACATACAGTCATACACACGCATACATAACATACAGTCATACACACGCATACAGAACATACAGTCATACACACGCATACAGAACATACAGTTCATTAATTAATTATCTCTTAGTCGTTAAGTTATTAGTGTACATCAACAACTACAAGGTCATTTAAATCGCGTATAATAAGGTCATTAATTACACTAATCCACCAAAAACTAACAATAACAGAACTTGTTATAATGACCAGCTGATATTCTTGACTGACGGTAAATCATATCTGTGTGCTGACACCACCACGACTTATGTTTATACTGACGAAGGTTGTTCCTCTCCTTCACGAGTAGGACGGAGGTGCTGGAGGAACATAAGCTCATGGTGTGTGTGGTGCTGAAGGCTGGCTCCACCGCTTGGAACGCCCTATTGGCCGCCCGCTACAACAAGACAGACATGTTGGTCACCAGATTGTGTTATAAGTGAGTGTTTCCTGAAGATCTTAAACGCCCATAACCTAACCTAATCTGATCTGACACTAATCTAACCCTAAACTGAACTAACCTAACCTTATCTGACACTAATCTAACCCTAAACTGACCTAAACACTAACCTAACCTAACCTAACTACACGTCATTGTTATGTTTATCTATGCAATTGTCTGATTATTTTTGTTTACGAATTCTATGTTTATCTTTTCCTCAATGTTTACGACGTTTTTTTTTTTTTATCTAGGATGATTAAGGAGTTGATGCCTTCACCGTCCAGATTCACAGAAGTGGCGAAGTCGAATGAATTCAGTCGGATTTTAGTGGTTCGACACCCCTTAGAACGGCTTGTCTCTGCCTACAGGAACCGCTTAGCTGACCCGGATATTATTGGCTATCAGTCCCAAACATATGTCCCTCTTATACTGGCATATACCCGAGGCCGTAGGTACGTCCTCTCTCTCTTTCTACTACCCGTCTCCCCTACACATACATACATACATACATACATACATACATACAATCGTTATGTATAATGCTATAAAATAAGTTTCCTCTCCCTCACCTCCCTCACCTGTCCCTCACCTACCTCACCTCTCCCTCACCTTCCTCATCCTCACTTCATCTCCTCCTCACTTCATCTCCTCCTCACTACAACCTCACCTTCTCCACCTAACCTCTAAACCTTACCACACCTCATCCATTATCACAACACCCCACCTCTCAACCACCCCCTTCCTATCACACGTTTTTCTCTTCATTCCCAGCTACTCTCATAAAGAAATCTTCAACGTTGCTGGGAGGATTCAAGTAATACCGACCTTCAAGGAATTCGTCAGTTTCTTGGTCGAGGAGGAAATCCAGGAATACGACGACCACTGGACACCCATTAGTTACACTTGTGGTCTCTGCTACATTAACTACACTGCTATAATACACACTGAGACATACCAAGATGACATTCGCTATATTATGAGGTTAGTTTGGGATGGCGTCTAGTTTAGTTTGGTTGGTACGGTTGGTTGTATTTGATCTGGTATAATTGTGAGGTGGTGTGTAGGGTTTGAAAGGTTGCTTGCTTGTTCTGGTAATGGTTTTTATTTTATTTTTTTTTTTAAGATAGCTTGTTTGTTTGCTTGTTTGTTCTGGTAATAATATGAGTTGTGAGGTTGGTAACAAGATGAACTGTGAGGTGCGGTTACTTGATTGTCACTCATATACATTTCCCCATTTCAGTCGACCTAACACCCAGTTCTCTTATCATTCACCAATATCCTTCTTCCTCTTGTCTCCCCCACCCGACAGAATAAGCGGACTGGACACCAAAGTCAACCCGGAATTAATGAACAACTACACCAACAAAGCCAATGGCCACGATACCCAGGACGTATTGGTGTCTTATTATAAACAACTTGAACCCATCTTACTAAGGAGGATCATTGAGAAATTCAAGTTGGATTTCTTACTATTTGGTTACGATCCTAATCCATTGGTACAGAAGATTTATCCTAATATGAGGGTTTACCTGACACCTTGATTGTCTTGATTATCTTTGTTTGTGTTTGTGTTTACGTTTTTTTTGGGGGGTATTTATGTTGGGTTGTTTACGAATGCATTGTGTGTTTTTTTTTGGAAGGGGGAGGTGGAGGGGGTAAGTGTGTGATTCTTCCTTGATTAGTTAATATTTTGTTATTATTATTATGTGAAGTAATGAAACAACCAAAGAGTATTTTAATGTTTTATTTTTCTCTTGATAAACTAACATAGAGAGAGAAATAATATGTAAAAACAACTTAACCTTCCTTCTTTGTCTTTCTCTCCTTCACCCCAATGCCGTCCTTCTCTCCCTTCCCCCCTCAACTCTACCCTTCCCCCCCCCCACCTCACCCCTCCCCCCTCAAATCCCACCCTTCCTCCCCACCTCCCCCTCCCCCTCAATCCCCACCTTCCTCCCACCTCACCTCCCTCCTCCCCTCCCACCTCACCCCTCCCCCCCCCCCCACCTCACCCTCCCCTAAATCTACCCTCCTCCCAATTGATGTCTCAACACAACTAAATTCAACCCCAACTTGTTTGAAAGACCGACAGTGCTGGCTGACTGACTGGCTGGCTGGCTGGCTGGCTGGCTGGCTGGAGTGGCTGGCTGGCTGGCTGGCTGGCTGGCTGGCTGGCTGGCTGGCTGGCTGGGTGGCTGGCTGGCTGGCTGGCTGGCTCTCTGATATACTCATGATAATTATGTTACAGCTTATCTACAACAGTTCTGAAAAGTGATGGAAAATAAAAGTAAAAATAGCTTGACATTTGGAAAGTTTTTGGTGGTGTTTTATCTTATGTCGAAGAGGAAGGGTGAGCAGGGGTGAGGGAGGATGTGTCAACACTTGTCTCTCTGTCTCTCTCTGTCTCTCTTATCCTGCCTCCTATCTTCCTCTCTTTTACTATATATTTTTTTACTCTATCACCGTGTGTTATTCTAGTGATGATTTATAAGTTAGTTTACCCATTACGTCATTACCCAACATCGTGACGTCATTTCTTCCATCGTGACGTCATCCCATACATCGTGACGTCATCCCATACATCGTGACATCATTCCTTACATAAATCAGCCTACCCTTATGTTCACGTGTTCATAAGTTGCTATAATTTAAAGAGTGACGAATGTAGATTTTTGCACTGAATGAATGAATGAATAATTGTTATATTTTCTGAAATACAAAGAATGATTAATGATATATGTGAAGCCTTATTAACCTGAAGTTATACAAAATCGATGATACCTGTGTCGGAGGAAAAACATACATACATACATACATACATACATACATACATACATTGGGTTTTATATCTAGAAGTGTAAGTAACAAGAGTGCAGAGGTCTTATTGCAACTATATCTTGCGCTAGTCAGGCCGCACCTCGATTATGCGGTTCAGTTCTGGTGCCCCTATTATAGAATGGATATAAATTCACTAAAGTCGGTGCAGCGAAGAATGACGAAAATGATTCCGGGACTTAGAAACCTTCCATATCAGGATAGGTTAAAGAAACTTAACTTGCATTCTCTAGAAAGACGAAGATAGCGGGGAGATATGATATAAGTATTTAAGTGGGTGAAAGGAATCAATAAAGGGGATATAGATAAAGTTCTTATAATATCCGAGCAGGATAGGACTCGTAGCAACGGATTCAAGTTGGATAAGTTTAGGTTTAAGAGGGAGATAGGAAGGAACTGGTTCACAAATAGGGTGGTGGACGAGTGGAACAAGCTTAGCAACTTTGTAGTAAGTGCTGGAACTCTGGAAAGTTTCAAAAGGAGGCTAGATAGATTCATGGATGAGAGAGAGTGGTAGTAACTCGGCAGGAGCTGCCATGCACAGGCCAACCGGCCTATTGCAGACTCCTTTATTTTCTTATGTTCTTATACATACAAACAAAAACACGAACTAACTAACTTTCTCTCTCTCTCTCTCTCTCTCTCTCTCTCTCTCTCTCTCTCTAGCACCCCCTCTCTCTCTCCCCCACACAAAACAGAGAGTATAGGCGTCAAGCCAGCCAGCGTACAGAGGGAGAGAAAAACAGTGAAAGTTCTAATACTAGTCTGGTGCACACTGGCGCCTTGTGGCTTAACCCGTCAAACAGGATCTATAAAGGTATGCCACTCGTTTAGTTTCCTTACGTTACCTTGTCTTCCTGTTATCTATTAGTCCCCTTACGTTACCTTGTCTTCCTGTTTTATTATAGGTTAAAATAGAGAGTTAAATAGGTTTATATTTATTAAGGGAAGAGATTGGAATTTCTAGGTACGGATGAGTGAGAAGCCAATTTTTGTATTATTTTTCATTGTCTGTTTTTGTAGAGGCTAAAATGGCGTCTGTTTAGCTCTGAGACTTTATTATACATAGTTAAGGCCTTTAATTAAGATACTATTATTACAGGTACAAAATGGCGTCAATTTAGCACTGAGACTCTTGTGAATTAAGGTAGATAGATAGATAGATAGATAGATAGAATAAGAGGACTTCTCAAACAGTCATCACCGATAGTATGTCCTTCCATCTATCATCTCTCCTACGTGCTTCATCGTCATCGTCATCGTCATCGTCAGAAGAGGACGACGAAGGAGAGAAATCCGGAATGATGCCCTTGACGAGAAAGCGAAGACGTGTTGCCACCACTTCCTGCTGCCTCCTCGTTCCCTTTTCCTGCACGTACCGCCTCCACCTCCTTATACCCCGCTGGAGGACCTTCCTGACGGAGATTTACAGTCCAGGTTAAGTTAGGTTAGGTTAAGGTGTTCAGTCAATAGGTTAAATAAGCTGTGGTGTCTAATTTTCATGTGAATCCGAAAGCAGTGTTGACAGTGTTTAATAAGTGTTCTCAGCCACACCTTTGGTAGTGCTGAGTAGCCAGGTCAGTGTGGGCCCGACGCTGCAGGAACTGGTCTAGCGCAACCCACCGCCACGTCCATAAATACTGCCGCAGGAGACGCTGACGATGATGTTTCTCTGCCCTAAGTAGCTGCTCCTTCCGTATCCTCATGTCCTGTAAGTTAACGTTAGGTTAGGTTAGAGGTAGATTCTCAAACCTCTCTCTCTCTCTCTCTCTCTCTCTAATGTTTATATCCATTACCAACTCATATTTCTGTATATTAATAGATGTTACGGGAATCCATTGATCACCTAACTAAAACAATATATTTATGCTTCTTCTTATTTGCGTCGTTTTTGTTCTTTTAATACAGTTCACTTTTTTCTTTGTTTATTGTTGTTACGTCATCACAGTGTTCAAACAAATGACGCTCGGCCTTCAAGATGGCGGCGGTTGTGGGGAAAAATAACAACACTGATCAAATTTTGTCGTTTTTTTTTTCTATCAGGTAAGTTGATGTTTGTTTATAGGAGTTGTATATTTTATTGATCATTACGTATCCTATAGGTTGAGAGACCTGGACGAATCTATAAGAGAATAGTGATGACAGGTGGTTTTAGGTTTTTGATTGACACATATAAATAAAATCAATAATTCTGACTATGACGATAAACTCACCTACAGCTAACACACCTGCAGCTCTCAGACAGCCATGACATAACCAATGTTGTTTATTTATTTCAATATTCTTCTTCCTTGGTGTGTTTCTATGCCACTTCTGGTCTACAGGTGTGTAACAACATACATTTACCGTTTCTCACTGTTGATTTTTGTTCATTTTTGTATTTCTTTGTATTTATTATTATTATTATCATATTATTATTATTATTATTACCATTAATATTTTATTTTACTTTTTATTATAAATTTTATTTACTATGAATTTTTATTATCATTACATTTTCGCCCCCCAGGCCCCGATGTTGATGAGTGACCTCTGCCCGGGTGGGCTAATACCCGTACAAAGAAGAAGAAAAAACACTTGAACTACTCATTCTCTCACAGGTGTCGACATGTGTCCACAGGTGTCCACAGGTGTCCACAGGTGTGATAGTCACTTGCATTTTACTCAATGGGGTTTATTGGATCATGTTATTTAAACAGTATATACAGTGAGTGAAAGAAGATACTCAAGCTCAGGTGAGCTGTTGATAAGAGAAGTAATGATTACACTTATTAATTAACAAATTTTACTCGAATATTTTGCCACAGGAGTGTGTGTGTGTGTGTAATAATAATAATAATAATAATAATAATAACCGGTGTATTAATAGAGTTGCAGCCGGTGGCTGAAAATATACAGACTTACATTTGTACGTGTGTGTGTGTGTGTGTGTGTGTGTGTGTGTGTGTGTGTGTGTGTGTGTGTGTGTGTGTGAAATCAGCCGTTGTTCCATGACTATCGACCAACTGGTGAAGAATTCGTTGGCCTGGTTCAGGCAGCAATTTGTGACGTCAATCAACCCACAGCGCGTCATTGCGGGACTGGTCAATGAGACGGGACTAAGAGGTGGTGTGACGAGGGTGAGTTAGCCTCCGCCGACCTTACCTCCAGGGGTCGGACTTCTGGCTTGGCCCGGTCAACACTCCCGTGTGCTGTGGGAGTCCTGCCGTGTGCTGTGGGAGCCCTGCCGTGAGCCGTGTGCTGTAGGATTACTGCCATGAGCCGTGTGCTGTGGGAGTGTTGCCGTGTGGCGTGGAAGTGCTGCCGTGTGCCATACCAGTGTTGTGTGTTTTAATTATTAAATAGTTAAGTCTACCCTTACACGCTGTTAATACCAACCATATTATTCTATTGGAAATAGCATAACAGCAGCATCTGGTCAGTGACAGACAGACAGATAGCCTCACCTCTCTCCACTTGTTGAACAATTTATGGACGACACACACGTTGTAGAAATTAGCAGCCAAGTTTTCTCTCCAGTGCTGTTCTTTATCTCGGTGGATTATAAGCTGGGTCAGCGCCTTCCGCATGATCTTCACCTGGTAGTGGTTCTTGGCCTTGTCTCTGTTGTCTCGACTCATCACTACGAGTATCTTAAAGCGGTTAAAATAATTATACAAGAGCTTATGTTTCCGAAAATCATCCGCCAGTCTGTTGTGTTTGGCCTGCCTCGCCTCCTTCGCCCGCCACCGCTGCTCCCTCATAACCCGGAGCTTAAACGTCTCTCTCATCTCTATTAGTTTCTCATTCTGTGTCCTTCTGGCTTCCTCACACTGTCTTTTCTCTTCCTCCAATTTACGTTTTATGTCTTCGAGTTTTTTTATTTTCATCGCCTCGTCCATCTCTTTTCTCTTTGTCTTGCGTTCCATCGCCCTGACCAAGATGCTCGAGAGGGTGTCGTCTTTGTCACCACCTTCAACGCCTTCTGCCGTCTTACCCTTAATGTGGTTATATGTCTCGTAGTTCCTCTCCTTTACAACATACGCTCGTCTCCTCGCATTCTCTGTTGCTTTTTCTGCTTCTTTCGCCTTCTTCCGGAGTTCTTTGGAGAGGAAGGCGGTGACGTGGGCAGGGTGGAGAACCAGTTCCTCTGTTGGGGCGGTGGTGGTGGCCCAAGGATTCATTCTGACGATGTAATGCACACGGATAAAATCTCAAAACAGGTTAGATAACATGTTGTCCACACAGGTAAGAGAGAGACTGAGGTAGCGTCCCTCCGAGTTACCATGACAACCAGCCCGTCAGATCAAACACTCCTGGTCAAATTTAATCAATAATTCAATATCCACATTTCAGTCTACTGTACCGTATTAGTACACAGAAACTAAATCAATGGAGGTTCAAAGTTTATATAAATAAATCCTTGAATGTATTGCATTTATTGTAAGTAAGAAAATAACATGCAAGAGCCGACATGATGGTGTATTAATTGTTTTAGTTTGTCCCCTGTGAGAAATATCCTGTTAACGTCAGCACACATTATATATGGTTAGTGTAGTATGGCCATATAAGTATAGTTATCTATATGTAATTAAACACTTTATTGATAGAGGAAATTTATGTAAAGTTTATTCATGTTTCTGTAACTTTTAACGGCTGTAATTTATGGCTGAAGCGGGTACTTATAAGTCTGTATGTCTTCTACCATTTGCCGTCCAGTTTCAGAAATATTACAAAAGGACCACTAAACCATTATTTTATATTATAGCACATGATACGAGCCTCACCCTAACATAATAACTATAATCTGATTAGTCTAGACCACGCAAGGTAAAGTTAGTTACCTTTATATGAAAAGGTAAGACTACATTAATATCATAGTAGCCCATAAAAATATTTAGTTTTATTTATCGACACGAAAGAAAATGTTACAGGTTTAATTGTGATATTTACACTTGCAGTACATAAGCTGTGTGGAAATATATTTTTGGCATATATTCAAGCGGAACATGAGTGTAGTTATCCAATTTTTGGTATTTTATATATAATAGAGATATATTTTAATACTAGTACTGTACCTCGGGTCCCTCTAAGGAAAGGTAAATACGTGGATAGTTCAATTAATTTTAGTTGGTGGAGCTAGATAATAGAAACGGATATAACTTAATAAATTTGGGTTGATAAGTGAAGATTATGTTCACATTACTAAATTAAACTAGTAATTAATGTAGGATTTTGTGGTAAATATTGTTATCGTGGTGTGTTATTGGTCATTAGGAACAAGTATAACGATCATTACGTAACCAATTTCAATTTTTTTCAATTTCAATATTTTATTCCCTGATAGAGGAAGCGGGATCCTAGTGCTGTCACTAGGTACCCCTGTACAATAACACCAGAAGCATCTGGCAAGTGTGACAAGTATATACAGTATAAATATCATGAAGGGGCTTACTAAAGCCTAAGGAAGGAAGGATATTCCTTTAACACATAATCAATGATATTTACATAATATCTGGCCAGTATGGGGAGGATCATCGTGTCTCCGTCAGGGGGTCGTGGAGTGGTGGTCCAGCAGGCGTCACGGAAGCGTTGTGTGTGGGGACATCTTAGGAGGTAGTGGATAAGGGTGCTGCTGTCGGGTCTTCTGCATAATGCACAAGAGCGTTGCTCAGGGGATGCGGGGATACCAATCTCCCAAGCAAAGTCATACCCAATGATGATACGGGCAGCAATCACGTCCCCTTTCCGCGACCCTTTCCCATAGACATACGAGAGGTCAGGAAGTTTACGGAGGACATCGTACCAGGTGGGCGGGGAGTCCAGGGGGATGGCTGCTTCCCGAGCTTCTCTCTGTTTGCGGCGAATTTGGGTCCTAAGCTGTAAAAGTGTTCGAGGAACAACGTAGTCAGGTGTGGCCTTGTTGCAGCCAGTCTTGGCAAGGCCATCTGCTGCCTCATTCCCCAAGATACCGACATGACTGGGTATCCATAGGAATGTCACAGGACGGCCTGCATCCTGAAGTGTGGATGTTAACCCTCGTATTCGGAGGATGAGGTCCTTATTTTCCCCTGATCCAAATGCGATCCCGTCGAGAGCAGACCTGGAATCGCAGCAGACAAGCAAGGGGCAGAAACCATCTGCTTCTTCCTCAGCGAGAAGGGCAGCAAGGAGGGCTATTAGTTCAGCCTGAGTGGAGGATGCCCCGTCAGAAACTCTGAGAGACAGTTTGATAGGCTCAGTGGCATCAGGACGGGAGATGTAGACACCAGCCCCGGCCCTACCTGTAGCGGGGTCAACAGAACCATCAGTGTAGAGGACGACCCTACCTGGGGACCAGTGGACGTCGCATTCAAGGCCTCACGAAACACCAAGGATTCGAATCCCTACATGAACGAAGCTCCGAATCAAACAATTCCTTATTTATGTAAAGAAACTTGTATATAATTGTCTTGGTAAACACAACTCAGCGTGTTATTGTCTTGTTAGTGATCCACAAAATGTGATATTTCTTCCCTGACGTAAATAATCGTGTCTTAACGAATGATGTTTCAAATGGAGATGCTTCGGTTTATTGTGAGTGAGTGAGTGGGTCAGTGAGGCCCCTCGAGGCTTCACTGAACTTTAGAATCAGGCCAGCAGAGGTATATGCAGTCACGCCGACTCAGTGCTGACCTAACCTACAACCGGGCTGGTTCACGTCACTCCTGGGACCAACTGACTTGTCTGTGTTGTAGCCAAGTACTCGTAATTTGTGTTGTGGTGCGTGGAATATATTCTAGGTTAAATGAAATGATTTATAAAGTCATAAGAAACCAGAGAATTTGTATAGCTTCTTGACACTGGCTTATATATATTTCAGCAGTGGCACGGTATTCGCTGTGGGTGGTGGAGGTTTCAAGGACCCGGTGTGGATGATGAAGGCTTCAGGTTCGACTCCCAAACTGACGTGTTGAACAGGACGAGGCACAGCGGTTAAATTCTCAAAGGTTTCGTAAGTAAAATTAATCTGTTTTACCTTTTCTGACATTGCATAGGTGCTGGGGAAGTGATTGTGGTTCATATTACCTAAGATACCACGTAATTTGTATAGTGTTTGAGATACCAGGTAATTTGTATAGTGTTTGAGATACCAGGTAATTTGTATAGTGTTTGAGATACCAGGTAATTTGTATAGTTTGAGATACCAGGTAATTTGTATAGTGTGAGATACCATGTAATTTGTATAGTTTGAGATACCAGGTAATTTGTATAGTGTGAGATACCATGTAATTTGTATAGTTTGAGATACCAGTTAATTTGTATAGTGTTTGAGATACCATGTAATTTGTATAGTTTGAGATGCCAGGTAATTTGTATAGTTTGTGATGCCAGGTAATTTGTATAGTTTGAGATGCCAGGTAATTTGTATAGTTTGAGATGCCAGGTAATTTGTATAGTTTGAGATGCCAGGTAATTTGTATAGTTTGTGATGCCAGGTAATTTGTATAGTGTTTGAGATACCAGTTAATTTGTATAGTGTTTGAGATGCCAGGTAATTTGTATAGTTTGTGATGCCAGGTAATTTGTATAGTGTTTGAGATACCAGTTAATTTGTATAGTGTTTGAGATGCCAGGTAATTTGTATAGTTTGTGATGCCAGTTAATTTGTATAGTTTGAGATACCAGTTAATTTGTATAGTGTTTGAGATGCCAGGTAATTGTATAGTTTGAGATGCCAGGTAATTTGTATAGTTTGAGATGCCAGGTAATTTGTATAGTTTGAGATGCCAGGTAATTTGTATAGTTTGTGATGCCAGGTAATTTGTATAGTGTTTGAGATACCAGTTAATTTGTATAGTGTTTGAGATGCCAGGTAATTTGTATAGTTTGTGATGCCAGTTAATTTGTATAGTTTGAGGATTTGCGTACAGTTTATACATTTCAGCAGTGACACGATACCCGATGTGTATGATGGCTTCAAATACTCGTGGATGACGGAGGCTTCAGAATTGACTCCTTGATCGTGTTGAATAGTACGAGGCACGGAACAGGATTCACAAAGGCCTGTAAGCTTATTTAGTCTGTTTTACCTTTTCCACCATTCATAGTTAGATTAAATGGGATAGGTGGAAAATATTCTAAGAAAATATTGACAAAAGTAGACGTATATTTAGTATTTAGTGATGTAGTTTATGAATATAAAGTACAATTTAAGAGGAGGAAAGCAGAGACTGGGATTGTTGTCATAGTTTTAAGGTTTAAGGGATAATGGTTGAGATTGTAAAGGGTAAATGTAAGGGTAGGAAGGCCAGGGAAAGGCAGAGACGTGGTGGATGTCGTATAATTAGGGATATTAATGGGTAAGTGTGGGTAGGGGGGCCAGGAGAAAACAGGCTGGGGTGGATTAATGAAATTATGGTCCCTGAGTGATTTAACATGTCACAATTGTTTACAAAGTTTATTAAGAGGTGACGGCCACAGCTCAAAGTCTGACTGGTATGTTACGTGTGGGGGGGTAGCTGGGAGACTAAATATTATGGGGCCATCTTCGTCTCAAAGTTGGCATGGCCCTGAAGGATTGACGTGTAAGACAAGAGTTTGTGGGCTCTGATGATTCCACCTGAAGTTACCAAAACAATAAGTAAGACTTGATATTCGTGTGTATAAATGCTTCAATAATACATTAGTGATTGGATGTATTGAGTTAAATGATCTTTGATGTCTTGTCTTAGTGTTAGGGAGGAGCTGGGGACAGGTGAAGGAAGTAATCAAGGGTATGTGTAAGTGGCGTTGGTGTAGAGTTATAGAATGAACATCCGTCCCAAAGTGTCATGGGATAGACTGGAAGTTGGGCGTGAGAGACGGACTATTGTGTGTAGGTAAGTGAATGATAATGGCAAGGGAAGAGCTTGGGGAAGGTCTGAACAATTTGTCTTGGGAGGAAGTTTGTGATTGTGATGGAACTATACACAATATTTCATGAATGGTTGGAACTGGAGGGTGGGGGGGCTGTATGTGGTGTCGAGAATGATTGTATAGAAACAAGAAATAGATGTAGAGTGGCTGGTTATGGGAGATACTTGTGTATAGTTCAAAGTGGGGAAAAGTGCTTCAGAGAGAGTTCAAAGGTTGTTTTTTTTTTTAGGGAATGAAAGATGTGTGATTTATAGTCTTCCCACTCTACAATACATCTGCTAATAAGATATTCATTTTACAGGTAGAAAATTAAACCACATCGAGGGAGGATGAGGACCACAACTTGGTATCCAGACGAGGCACCAAGCATACTGAAAAAAGTTTGGATCTACCCAACATACAAGAAAGCTGTATTATGTAGACGTGAGTGTTTTGATACGTCCACATAGAAAGGACAAATTATAACAGTGTATTCAAGTTTATCTACCGACTGCTGAAGGGATGGTGTAAGAGTGAGGGAAGGACTTGCTGTGGTGTAGGTTGGAGGGAAGACTTGGTGTGTGGTGCAGGAGTGAGGGAAGGACTTGCTGTGGTGTAGGTTGTGAGGGAAGGACTGTGTGTGGTGTAAGAGTGAGGGAAGGACTTGCTGTGGTGTAGGTTGTGAGGGGAAGGACTTGCTGTGGTGTGAGTGAGGGGAAGGACTTGCTGTGGTGTAGGTTGTGAGGGAAGGACTTGCTGTGGTGTGTGGGAGTGAGGGAAGGACTTGCTGTGGTGTAGGTTGTGAGGGAAGGACTTCTTGGTGTAAGAGTGAGGGAAGGACTTGCTGTGTGGGTGTAAGGAGTGAGGGAAGGACTGCTGTGGTGTAGGTTGTGAGGGAAAGAATTGTGTGTGGTGCAGGAGGAGGGGAAGGACTTGCTGTGGGTGTAGGTTGGGGAGGGAAGGACTTGCTGTGGTGTAAGAGTGAGGGAAGGACTTGCTGTGGTGTAGGAGGAGGGGTGACATGTGTGGGTGTGTGGGTGAGTGGGGAGGGAAGGACTTGCTTGTGGTGTGAGGTTGTGAGGGAAAGAATTGGTGTGTAGTGCAGGAGGAGGGAAGGACTTGCTGTGTGGTGGGAGTGAGGGGAAGGACTTGCTGTGTGGTGGGGAGTGAGGGAAGGACTTCTGTGTGTGGTGGGAGGGGAAGGACTCTTGTGGTGTGAGGAGGTGAGGGAAGGACTTGGTGTGTGTGGTGTAGGAGTGAGGGAAGGACTTGCTGTGGTGTGAGGAGTGAGGAAGGACTTGGTGTGGTGTAGGAGTGAGGGAAGGACTGCTGTGGTGCAGGAGGAGGGAAGGACTTGGTGTAGAGTGAGGGAAGCACTTGGTGTAGGGAGTGAGGGAAGCACTTGGTGTAGGAGTGAGGGAAGCACTTGGTGTAGGGAGTGAGGGGAAGGACTTGGTGTAGGAGTGAGGGAAGGACTTGCTGTGTGGTGTAGGAGTAAGGAAGGACTTGCTGTGTGGTGTGAGGAGTGAGGGAAGGACTGGTGTGTGGTGTAGGGAGGAGGAAGGACTTGCTGTGGTGCAGGGAGTGAGAAGGACTTGCTGTGTGGTGTAAGAGTAAGGAAGGACTTGCTGTGTGGTGTGAGGAGTGAGGGAAGGATTGTTGTGTGGTGTGGAGTGAGGGAAGGACTTGGTGTAGGAGGAGGGAAGGACTTGCTGTGTGGGTGTAGGAGTAAGGGAAGGACTTGCTGTGTGGTGTAGGAGGAGGGAAGGACTTGGTGTTTGGGTGTAGGAGGAGGAAGGACTTGCTTGTGGTGCAGGAGTGGGGGAAGGACTGCTGTGTGTGGTGGAGTAAGGGAAGGACTTGCTGTGTGGTGTAGGGAGTGAGGGAAGGACTTGCTGTGTGGTGTAGAGTGAGGAAGCACTTGGTGTAGGAGTGAGGGAAGGACTTGGTAGGAGTGAGGGAAGGACTTGCTGTGTGGTGTAGGAGTAAGGAAGGACTTGTTGTGGTGTAGGGAGTGAGGGAAGGACTTGCTGTGGTGTAGGAGTGAGGGAAGCACTTGAGGAGGAGGGAAGGACTTGGTGTAGGAGTGAGGAAGGACTTGCTGTGTGGTGTAGGGAGTAAGTGAAGGACTTGCTGAGTGGTGTAGGAGGAGGGAAGGACTCTGTGGAGTGAGGGAAGGACTTGCTGTGGTGTGTAGACTGAGGGAAGGACTTGCTGTGTGGTAGGGTGAGGGAAGGGATTTGCTGTGTGCTGTTGGAGTGAGGAAAGGAATTGTGGTGTAGGATTGAAGGAAGGCATGTGGGTAGGAGTGAGGAAGGACTGCGGTGTGTGGTATAGGACTTTAGGAGTGAACGTAGTTAAGACTTTAATAACTGTTATAATCTTGTGTGACGTTATCACTGTGTGACGTCACTACTCTTTGGGTGCTGTCCCACGCAAGCAGACGACTGGTGGTGACGTCACTGCTGTTCTACCAATGGGTGCCTCAGGTGACTTTAGCCCATTAAGAATACAGAAAACCTGTAACATTTGTTACGAACAAGATGTAAAGATGTAACAAGTATTTTATAATAATATTTAAGAGTTTATTAATAACAGAGTAATATTTATTTATAGTCCATTCTTAGTCTGGATAACTGATGATGTTTACCTCGATTGAATCGACGTTTTCTATAACAGAGTGAATAAAACCTCAGTCAAGTGAAGGTAAAAACATCCATCAGTTATATCAGTTCAGTAAAGTTATGTAGAATAGTTTCTCGTAAGAAAAATTTTACTCTTCCTGTTATTGAAATACAAAGTACGTGGTATAAAGTACAGTACTTATTACATCTCGTTTAGAAGTGATGTCTAAAAAATTTGATTTCCAATTTGTATGTTTGTCCTTTTGAAAACATTGTTATTTTTTAAAAAAATAAAATTTTCTTCGTCATGTACAGTGTTTTACTTTGATATTAGGAAAAAAAATCGAGGTGTAAGATGATCACTCCAAACAAGGCAACTGGGGTGTTGTGCTGACTGACTGCTCTGCTTTCCTATTGGCTGCAATTTGGTGGATTTACATTTTAGTCCACCAATCACAGTGAAGTAAAGATTGCTGGATGGCGTAATATATACAACATTATGACCCAGCAAGTTATAAGGCTTCTGGGAGGGGACAGCCCTGTAGGGCCCCTGGCACACCGACGCCTCTGGGAGGGCCCCAGGCAGTACCGCCTTAGGGAGGGCCCCTAAGGGCACTGGTGGTCGCCCCTGGGAGGCACCTGGAGGTCGGCCCCTGGCCCTGGGTCGCTGTTGCTCTGGGTTGTCGCCCCTCTGCTAGGGCTCCTTGGGTCACTGCCACCCTTGGGGGTGAAACCGCCCTGAAGAGACCTTGGACGCCGCCATTGGGAGGGCATGGAGTTCCACGCCCCAGGGGAAGTCCCTGTGGGCGCCGCCTCTACTATGAAGACTTTTGGGGGCAAAGACGCCCCTGGAAAAGCCCGTGGGAACGCCGACGTCCCTGAGAGGGCCCCTGTCTCGCCGCCGACCCTGGGAAGTTCCATGGTGGCATAGCCGGCCCTGGGTGGGTCCCTGGGGGTGCCGCACCTGCTAGGGCCCATGGGGGGCGGCTGTGTCTGTGAGGGTCCCTAGGAGCGTTGCTGTCCCTGTGAGTGTCCCTAGGAGCATTGCAGTTCCTGAGAGGTCCATGGAAGCTCAGCTGTTCCTGGAGGTCTGAGGACTGCCTTCTGAGAAGGCCCTTAGATTTCGTTGTCCCTAAGAGCGTTACTGGTGGATCATGCCCCTGGTGGATCCGGAACGCCGGGACAGGTTCCCTGGGGCACCACCGACTCTGAGAGGGCCCTGGTGTCCGTGCCTGGCATGGCCAAGTAACCCAGAGATAGGAGACGTGATCTGTGGTTCTCCTGCCTGCAGGCTGCTATGGCCCTGTCGCAATGGGTGCTTCCAGGGCGGCATTAGGGCGACGACACTTGGGTCTCCCCACATGCGGCATCGCCCCAAAAACTCATAGATTATCGTACATATTGTATTCGTCCAGTAATCCTTTTTACGTAACGTATTGGGAGAAAGGATGGTCGTCATCAAATGTCAATAGGAGAACAGAGCACCAGTCAGCATAACACCCCAACTTATGCGCGCTGTTGGATATTTAATTTTCGCTTCACAATTTTAAATTCTGGGAGATATGAGACGCATTTTCAGTATTATCACAACCTAAACAATAAAAAGGAAAATAAATATCCAACAGCAAAACATAAGTTGGGGTGTTGTTAATTGATTGCCTGTTTTCCTATCGGCTGTAATTTGATGACGCCCTCTTAAATCACCAACCACAGTCAAGAGATTTCGAAGACTGCAATATATACGAACGACACCACTATCCATTGTTTGGGGCGCCGCCTCCTTAGGAGTAGACCATTGTGAGCCACAGGCCTTGGCAGGGTCTCTGGGAGCAGTGGCGCCCCATAAAGAGACCTTGGGGAGCCACACCGCCTATGGAAGGGCCCCTGAAGGCCACCGCTGGCAGGGCCTCTGGGAGCACCACGGTCCTTAGGAACGTACCGAGGCGCCCCTGTCCTGGAAAGGCCCCGGGGATCACGGCTGTCCCTGTGAGGAGCTCTAGGGTTGCCAGCGCCCAGCAGGGCCCATGGGGGCGCGGGCTGTGTCTGTGAGGGTCCCTAGGAGCGTTGCTGTCCCTGTGAGGGTCCCTAGAGCGTTGCTGTTCCTGAGAGAGGTCCAAGGAAGCTCAGCTGTTGCTGGAGGAGCCTCTCTGAGGACGCCGCCTCAGAATGCCCCTAGGATTACTGTTGTCCCAAGAGCGCCCCTGCTGGACCAGCGCCCACAGGTCCCCTGGGGCACCGTCGACCCTGAGAGGGCCCTGGTGGGGGCTCCATGGCCTGGCATGCCAAGTGACCCAGATAGATAGCGGCGATTTCAGCTTCCCTTACAGGGACTGGCGCCTTAGGGTGCCCAGGACTGCTACGCCCTCGAGGGCCCCTTCCATAGCGGTGGCGCCTTCAGGGCCCTTCACAGGCAGTATCCCCCAGGGTCCTCTATGGCGCGCGCCTTGCCAATGGACCTGCCAGGGCTGTGGCGGCCCTATGGGCTCCTCGCCAGCGGCGTTGCTATGGGCCCTAGTCGCAATGGGTGCCTTTCCAGGGCGGCAGGGTTCGCCAAGGCTGATGCCCCTCAGGCCCTTCCACATGCGGCATCGCCCCAAAAACTTCATAGATTATATCGTACATTGCATTCGTCCAGTAATCCTTACTTAACTGTGATTGGTGAGAAAGATGTAACGTCATCAAATTACAGCCAATAGGAGAACAGAGCACTAGTCAGCACAAACACCCAACTTATGCGTTGCTGATATTTAATTTTTCGCTTCACAATTTTAAATTCTGGGAGATATGACGTTAAATAAATACACTTCCCATCGCATTTTCAGTATTATCGCAACCTGAAAAAATGAAAAAAGGAGAATAAATATCCAACAGCAAAACATAAGTTGGGGGTTACACTGATTGCTCTGTTTTCCTATTGCTGTAATTTGATGACGCCTCTTAATCACCAACCACAGTCAGTAAGAGATTTCTGGAAGACTGCAATATATACGAACGA